AACTGATCAGTTGGAATGAGCAGTTAAACTGACCTTGTGTGTCGTCCATAACACTTGAAAATTGTTTTTTTTTTTTAATGTTTTTATTTCAAATACGCAAATCTATTACTAATATTGTGTACTTCAAAAACTGGTCTCTAAATATCGTTGTATCAAACTTTTCGCATTGATGACTCAGTCGCTAGTGAATAATTCCATTTGATAAGCCTTGCGGTGGCGCAGTTTGAAACACACCCAATTGATTATTTACTGCACCAACTGCTACAAGGATTTACTTATGGTTTCTAGTTACACAATATTGATAGGCTCAGTCTTTTATATTTACTTTATCTGATTTAACTTTATTTTCCTGGATGCAATATCGACCTAAGTGTGCTCTGCTCTCTTTTGCGTTTAGAATCTAGAAACTGCGACCACCGAATAGATATGTAATAGTAATAACGTACAAGTTTCACTCCCTTGACCTTGATGAAAACCGCCATTTTGGTAGCATTTAACATTTCTCTTATGTTTTCTAAGTAATTAATAAATTGCTCTGGTAGCCGGTCATCAAAACCGCTAACGAAAAAGGTGAGACTCATTTCCAGTTGGGTACGTTCTTTTTTTTGTTTAGCCTCGAACGTCACGCAACTTGCACAACGGACGCTTCAGTGTCCGATGCGCGAAGGTCATTGACAACGAAAAACGAGCACTCAGAAGTACAAGCCTTCCTGACCCTAGCGGCGGATTAATCGATGGCTCCGCCGCTAACCAAGATTTGGCTGAGGGTAGGGAGAGCGGCGCCTCGTAATACTGGTACTCTCTCCCTCGCAGCTCATACCACCACCGTATCAATGGTGCGGCCCCGTCAGTTGCAGAGGATAGGGCGAGTGGCGCATCGCCTTACTAACACTCCTCTTCCTCCGCGACTCGACCTCGGCTGCAGCGCTAGGGGGAGAGGTCACTCCTCGCCGCAGTCCACCAACATACTTCCGAAGTGGTCTCGCCAAGCCCACTCGGAGTGGCCAACTCGGGCCAGCCATGTGGGTTCCTCTTTGTTCACCGCGGGTGACCAAGCCACAGCTACTTAGCGACCACTCCACGCCACGACAAGGCGGGAACCCCCACGAGAGGGGTCTTGAAAAGACCTATATCAACTAGTGGATTTTAAGTAGTCACGAAAGGACGAGTTCACAATTGAGGCAAGGTATACAAGATAGCAATAATTTTATATGATATTCTCAAAACCAGTTATCTTAAGCACATTCTAAGGGAGTTGTTACTACTGTGCATTTAAAATATATAAAACCAGCTTCAATTATGTATCTCACTGCTGGGAATAGTACCGGGATATTTCAGTGTCGAAAATACCAAGAATTTTGTATTTATCTTGAACAGGTACAGGCTTACTTCACGTACTAATTTCTAATTTTATAGCTAGTTGTGGGGTAAATTTTTCCTCACACTTGTAACCCTAAAATATAGTGACGTATTTTTTTGTCTCTTTCTGCGACTTTTTTCTTTTTTCTCTGTCTACGATGCTATGGATGTGCAAGGGATGTCCAGTACTTTTTATCTATTTTTCCTAATTTACTCATAGACCATTAAACATTACATAAAACTATTGAAGAAGCTTTGTTGACGTGATGCTTCTATATCTAGCAGTATAAGTTCTCGTGTATTGTTACTCTGGCCGTGTGGTGGAGTTGTAAGAGAACCCAGCTCTTTATCTCACTATCCCGTGGATGTCGTAAAAGGCGACAGAGGTAACTCTCTCCACACTCAGTAGATGGACAGCAACATCTGTCTGGAATATCATAATAAAAAAGCTTCGGCTGTCAACCCGCTTGCTAGGCGTGCAAACTGGCAAAAATTTCCCTTGAACGATGGTACAAAGTGACGGTACCCCGGTGGTGGCACAGTTTTGAAATCCATTTTAAGGCAGTTCTTGGATACTGTCCCACCAGATAGTATGTAACCGAAAATGGCAAACCGCACTGACATACCTTCAAATCCTGTTTACTCTTGTGAAGCCACCTACTTTGTATTCGGGTGGAAAGGCAGATGCTGGCGAATTATTCTACTTAAATTTTCCGGCGAAAGTCCAGTTGCCACCTAAGATGACTTAATTTAACAACATATTACTTACGTGTGCCGAGGACTGACGAGTATATCATAATGCTGCAAGAAGAGGATATTATAAGATTATATACAACAGAGTACACGGTCATCTTTCGCTAAGTTTTTTTATCACCGTGAGAGAGCCTTAGAGCATAGTCCGTCCAAAGGTCTTGGATTTATCGTCCTCAAGACTAACGTAGTCAAGATCGGTAGTGCGTGAACTAGGGTTGTGTACATTATACTCAAAATCACCATACTATTATATTCTTTGGAGATCACAGAGGCTTACGCACCAACCTTGATATAACACGATGAGTTGATGTACGAGAGTATCTCTTTAGCACCACATTCCTTTAAAACTCATTACACGGTGTTAATGGGGGACTTCGGGACTTATGGAAGAAATATTTCATCTTCAAGCGGCCCCACAGAAAATGGACCTAGTAGAGCCTCGACGGTTCATTATGGCGACCAGACGGCAACTGTACAGTGATGTCTCAGTGATTGCGAGGGTGTAAACTGGTTGGAGGTCACGTCTAATGCAGTCAACGCTCCGCCCTCTCTTATTTGTTCTTTGATTTAGTCTTAAGTCCCGACAACTATAAGCTCGAACTACAGAATTGTTACCAAAGAACCGAAAAACTTGCTTCATTTTTATCTCAATACTGATATCAGAAATAAAAATGCAGTCTTCAGTAGAGCATACAGGCGATTCAAGATCTCGTAATGTATGCGGCGAGTTTTATGCAACTTAACTTTTATTGAAGAAGCGATTGAGTGAAACCAAGGCTCTAGTCTTTGCCGAATATTTGTCAACTAACTGTTGGTAAGTGTTATGTATTCGCCCTCAACGTTGATACTGTAACTACCCTTTCATGTGCAGTAACTTGAAAATGTCTACTAATATAACGTCATTCGCCTTATAGGTTTCGTACTCTAGTTCTGTACTTTTATAACCATCGTAGGCGTACTGTACAAACACTACCATATACCGATCAAAATTTCACCGACACAATCAAAAGCTTTCTTGTAGCTCACGTACAAAAATAATATGGCAAATCGTACTAAAGAGTACGATTTACTATATTATTTTGTGTTATAACCTTCTGTACAATTTGTCGAAGGGTTTGTATGAGGTCTACGAAAAGGGGCGGAAGTCTTGCCGTACATTTGGAGTTCTTTCTGTTCAGTTGCTTTGAAGATGAACACTGCAGTTTCATTGCTCATTTATAGTCATCAGAACGTTTTTGGGTACGCGACGGGCTTGTCCCTAAAACTTGGTCCCTACTGTATAGAGTTTTTACGAGCTTGTCATTTAACTTCATAAGTCATGACTAATGTTATTCTATAATGCAAATGACGTCACAAATCGACGCCATAGTGGTGATTCATTTCAAAATAATAGACAGTATATGACATCATACATTTGCGTCATATTGGAAAAGTGTTGGCGATTATTTTGTCATTTTGTGCTCCAAAAGTCATTATATCCTCTTAATGGAGATAACAGCAATTATTCTATCATTTTTTGTATTTGAATGAATAAAAACAAATTCTGGCATGCTTCATTCAGCGTATACACAATTAAAAATTGTTTTAATATGACCAGATATCCGACACAATTTGGCGGCGGCACGCCAGTACAATATGGCTTCAATTAATGACGTCATTTGTATTCGGCAGTTTACTGGAAACGTTTCGGAATATACCCTTTAAATCATCCAGGACCTCTAATATCAGATAAGATCTTATGCAAACATTGTGTCACCTGTTGATGGTGAAAAAAAAAAATACTTCATTTAGTATGTTATAAACTAGAGCAAAATTTATAACTAATTCAATGTGGTATTTATAAAAATAAAACAATGAACACGTTCAGTTACCTCCGTTTATTACATTGCACGTTATTAATACAATCTCGATTGGCGTTGTTACAGGGTGAATACATAAAGCAGAAATTAATCTAAATTATTCTTATAAACCCAACCCAAAGAAAAAAAAATACAAAGTCATAAGAAAACTTAAACTAAATGTCATAAGTCGCATCAGAATTTATATATATTTATTTATAATGTAAATAAGGCTTGTATATTTAAATCTTTTCCGATTACGACTTACGACCAAAGTAATTAAACAATGAGGCAAGCTAAACAACACAAAAAAGAGTAGTAAAAGTGGAGATCGCAACTTTTGGTGTAATTTTTGAAGGTCAAATATATATATTGTTTCAATCATTTAATTTCAAGCATATCACATTAAGAATTATTTTTTCAAGACATTGCTTGACCACATTCGAGAAATTTTAAATGTAAATGTGTTTATATATTTTTTAATTAAGTAAGTCAATATGATTTTTCAATTTAAATAAATATAGCACCGAAATAAGAAATAAAATTGCATTAACTCCATTACAGTATACAGATGGGAGATTCGAAACAAAATTCAAAATAGCAAGGAATAACATAAGTGTTGCGAATCTAAAGCATAACAATTATGGAATGGTTGTAAGAATTTTTATACTATACCTGTTCTGGTGTAAATAAATAGTGAATTTAATATGTTTGTCAATAATTAAGGCAAATTGTTTCACAAAATTCCACCTTTCACATGATTTCTTTAGTTCAGTTATTCAACTGTTATATGAAATAGTGCTGTACGTAACTTAAGATTTTTAAATTCTAATTTTAACGTGATATAGATTCTATATATTTTCATAAAGAATAAGGTGACAGAAACAAAACAGGTTTTTATTATCTGTTTTACTATCACTATACTGATTCTTACGAACAAGATATCACATGTTCATACTTACAACTGATTGGGTTTTACCATACTTATACTGGAATTCGCGCTAGCCCGTTCTTAGACATTGAACTTGTTGAAAGTTTGATTTGTCAAGATTAAATTCTTGGTGGAGTCGGTGGTGCGCCGTCACGGTCCTAGAAGATAGAAATAATAATTTATTTATAACATTTATACTAAAAATATGTTGAAAATTAGTAGTTTCACTATAGAGTACCAATCAAAGAAATGAATGAACGGTGAAGGAAAACATCGTGAGGAAACCTGCATGTCTGAGGAATAAGAAAAAAATATTTCGAAGATATGTGAAGTTCGCCAACACGCATTGGGGCAGCGCGGCGGACACATCCTTGCCCTAATACCCTCTCAGAAATGAGGGGAGGCCTGTGCCCAGCAGTGGGACGTATATAGGCTGTAACTTTACTTTACTTTACAATCAAAGAAAACATATAGCCTACTGCGTGTTTAACCCATTTAGACCGATAATTATTTTTGTGAAAAATTCATGTTTCATTAACAAAACCTGATCCAAGAAAGCCTAAAAACCGGGGGGAAAAATATTTAAAAAAAAATTAATAAGAGGGGGGGCGACTGAAGGGACGTACCACATATGGTACAGTAGGACTATATGTATGCAAAAAAAAGACATGATTTTACTAATTAGATTTTATTTACTTTTTGGTGTGATACATAATAAAGCACTCTACGTGGACACCGATATTGCACTTGACACATCTTGTAGGACATTGTTTGTGGCATAGGCCACACCTGGTCCTCTTTTCCTGCTTGCTGACATAGTGTTCTTTGCCGTCGTATCGAGAGTCTGATGTTATTGAAGATGGTCGACTAGGACCTGGCCTTTCGCGTTGTTTATTACAATCGATAATATAGTTTGCAATACGACGTCGAAAGTTTAGCAAGTCGATATTCCCTCCATTATGTCTGTACAGCAGCCATGCATTTTGTACAGACATGTCTATACAATGGAGAATCAGAGGCATATACCACTTTTTTCCTCGAATGCTAGTTCGCAATGACGATATATTCTGATCTGATAAATCTACTCCACCCATATTTTTATTGTATTGTTGAATGAGATGAGGTTGAGAAACAGATATTTTCTTTTTTAGTTACTGAGAATAGCGTTCAGTTTTGTGGACAGGATCAACACCAACTGCATTAGAGCATACTGACACTATACTATTGTCATGCCACTTGCAAATTATAATATCATCAGATATGCGATAATCATAAAAGCCTCTTTCTTTTGTCTTTGCTTCTTTGTTACTTAATAGAGGGCACTTTCCAGATCTATTTTCTCTGATAGTACCAGTTACACGAAATCCCCTCTCAGTAAGTTCATGAACCAAAGGCAAACCGGTAAAAAAGTTATCTATGAAGAGATGGTAGTTTTTTCCATAGCCTAATGTTGCTAGTTGATCTGCATAAGACAAAACCACACTTGCACCAAGACCAAGCTGGGAATATTGGGCATTCGTAAATGTAGAAGCACCTTGGTATGGTTCAAACCATGCAATGTAACCTCCTGATGTTGCACCAACCCATAATTTGTATCCATATCTTATAGGCTTGCCTCTAATAAACTGTTTGCAGCCGTGATGACCAAAATATGGGACCATAGCCTCATCAACACTATGATTCTCCTTATGTGGACAGTGCTCAAGAAACCTCATAGTTAAAACTTTTAATAAAGGACGAACTTTTGCAAATTTATCGGATGTATCTAAATTTAGATTATCAGCAACATGAATATTAGAGTAAATTAGTGTAAATCTATCTCGAGACAAGGCTGAAGCAATCAAACTATTTCTTGAGTCAGATGCATTTTCCCAGTACATTCTTCTTCTGCTCACTTGGCAGTAGCCACTGACTAACAAAATCCCTACCAAACATTTCATCTCTTCAATCTTGACGGGCTTCTTTCAATAGGAGTATGATAAAGGGGTTTCCAAACAATAGGTCTTAGCTGCAAGTCTCGTTTTCGCCAATTGTAATTCATGACACGTTTTTTTTAAAGGTTCTTGAAATTCGGGAGGGGTTTGGTCCTCAGTTTCTGGTTTTTCCATTGAGGTTGAGGCAGCAAGCTCCGCTGGAGCTCGAAGCAAACTTCCAGGCAAATTATTTATGCTGACGTTATCTTCTTCACCCGAGTCCTCGTCAGTTTGGTAATCATTGGCGGTGTCAGGTGGAAGTAAAAAAATATCAAAATCTTGTCTCTGGTTGCTAAAATCATCATCTTCCTCAAGAACTGTAGCAATTTCATGTAATGTCAATGACCTAAAACAATAAAACACAAAAAGATAAATAAAAAGCTAATATAATAATATGTAAATTGACTTAGGTATTTTGTGCTCATACATAGACCTACTGTACCATATATGATACACCTAATCTAGCACTGTGTACACCTTACTAAAATGACCCAAGTGAAACTTATTTGTAGCTATTACGTCTATTGTAGCCTAGTATTTAAAATAATACCAACAAATAATATGATTTACTATAGATAACATGAAACTTACCTTCTTGAAGACATTGTAAATTGTTTTTTTCCGTTTCTGTCTAGCAATTTTAATATAAACTGATAATAACTCGCATAAAATGTGTATGTTATATTGTTGATATAAAACTAATACTCTGAGTTATCTGCCACAACTAACCAAAAAAGTTAATAATTTGTGGGTACATCAAAATATTTTTACAAAGTAACTGTACCACATAGGGTACGGTAGGCCTATATGGGTTAAGACGACACATCGAAAACGCTATCGCCGTACTGATCCGAGTGAATACATAATTTCTATAAAAACCTGAAGAAACGCCGTCATAAGGTCTAAAATTGCGTAGCGCCCGCGACGATTAAAAGCGCTTAGAAATTGTCAGAATCTTAAAATATTTTTTAAAAAATTATTGATTTAAGTTATCAAAATAATGAGCAAGTAAATTATGAATATATTTGAGTGATTCCCAAGCATATAGATCAAATGATTTCGTTGTAATTTCAACTATAGTGAATTTTTAGAGGTGTTTTCGCAAATAATTATGGTCGAGTCAAAATTATACAATCGTGTTTTTGAGCAATCAAATTCAAGATAAAGACATGAATTTACCTATATCAAAATCCCACTTTCGTTAGTGGTGTCGTAGTTCTATACTATTCAATGAAAGGAGGTGCATTTTTTCACGGATGTGTCGCCTTAATGGTAGTTTTCGTTTATATATTTTGCAATGTTCTCAAAGTTGTTTACTTTATCCATTTCCTATTATTATTTATTATTACAATTACCTATTAGACAATTCATGGGGAAGAACTATGTTCAGCTATGGACTAGGATAGGTTGTAATGATGATGACGACGGGTAATCAACAAGCACATAGTCCAACTGATAGTAAATGGCTGCTGTGATCTATGAAAATCTACATCTATCATCAATTAAGAATGAAAATGCATGAGTTGATGAGTTGTCACCTCTGAATATTGAATTCCTTGTTCCTTTCCTCACCATACGAAACACAGCATTATGATGCTTTTTTACGCTGGTATTCTGCTTCACAGCTTTCTGCTTCATGCTGCAGGCACAATACAGCTGCAGTGTGGCTCTCCACCACATTAAAAAGGACGTATAGACGTAAAAGACGACTTAGACATTGATTATACTTAGTATAATCAATGTAAATTCTTCACATTAAAATACATACATTTATTTCAATCTATACAAATAAATAATAAAATTAGAGTTTCTGTTTGTAATGTCAAAATAACAGCTTTTTACTAAATGCATATGAAAGTATATACGATACTTATAGCAAAAAAAAAACATTTTTTTTGAATTTTTGTCTTACTCTTTGTTCCGGCTACTCTCCAAAACGGCTAAACGGATTTTGACGGGACTTTAACTCGCAGATGTTATAAAGAGTAATTTCTACTTTTATTTTAGAAAAAGAATTAGGGTTTCCAGCAAAAAAATTAAAACTCATTAAATCCAATCGTAATAAATTATAAATATTAAAAACAGCTAGTGTTATAATGTTTAAGATTATGATTCAAGCTATATTATTTACCTAAAGTAAAATAGTTTTGTATGGGTATTGATTCAAATGTCAACCTAATTCTTATGTGGCGCATCCTGCTGATAAACGATAGCAGGCTTTGGCGAGCAACTAATGGCGAAATAATCTACATAAAATGCCGAACCTAAGTCGCGTGTACGACTTATTGGACAAAATCCACTTGCTATTTAAAGCAAAACAATGAAAATTAGTAAGGAAAAATTGACTATTTTTAAGTTGTTACGTTAAATGCCAATCCATCATTAACATAAATGGATTAATGATAATTATTCCAGTACCGTACGTCGTTCAAGTTTACATTTACGTAACATCGCATAATATCAGTCAACCTTGTTCGTCACGGTCTTTAAGGAAATGCCGCCCGCTAACCCTGCGCTCATCAATCCGCATGTATAGCAGTGTATGCGCAAATTTCTGACTTGTATTCTTGGAAATGGTTACGTCCATTCCAGTGATTTGAAAAAGCTATATATATATATACATCATATTTTCGCTCGCAATTGCAAGACTTTTACATCGAGTCCAATAAACGATGAGGAGGATTCGACGCGTAATTTTTTTATGGTATTCAGAATACCTAAAATAATCGACATTCTACACTGAAGAGGATAAAAAAACATCAATATTAATAATCATTTGAAATAATAAGTTACAATTCTCTTTAAAATAACTAGTAAAATAATTAAAAAACCTATCAATAAAATGTCTCGCTTATAAGAAACTGTTGTGTGATCTTTAAACCTGTCTACATCTTTATAACTTTTATTTATTCCTTAATAAAAACTCCATTTCTATTATTATATCTTTATATATAATTATTATTTCTTCATTCAAAGTTAGATACACTTTACATTAATTAAATCAAACACAATTACTACTCGCGAGTATTAACTCAGTCGGTCAACGAGACTGCTAAAGGCAACCGACTATCAAATCAAACTAATTAAATCAACACATTACTACCGAAAGCACTCACTACAGTCGGTCAACAAGACGCAACGCTAATTCAGTTCACCGATTTCTAGGAATTGGCCCAACGAATTTT